TCTCTAACATCCTGAAAAGTGAAAAGATAAACATTCAAGAAGCTCAACGAACCCCAGGAAAGATAGACCCCAAAAGAAAATCACCAAGACATATCATATTCAAACTCTCCAAAATCAAAGATAAGGAGACATTCCTGAAAGCAGATCGGGAAAAGAGGAATGTTACATACAAAGGCAAGCAAGTCAGATTAAGCTCGGATCTCTCAGCAGAAATCATGCAAGCAAGAAGGCAATGGGGAGACATATATAACACCCTGAAAGAAAAAAAAAACTGTCAACCAAGAATCCTCTATCCAGCAAAGCTATCAATCAAATACGATGGTGTAATCAAAACATTCCAGGATAAACAGAAACTAAGGGATTTTGCCAAAGCCAACCCTACGCTACAAAACATCCTAAAGGGAGTTCTGTGGACTGAGAACCAACAAGAACAGACAACAACCAGAGCTTGACATACATTGCAGCACCTCCCAGAACTAACTTGACAGAAGGAAGAGTTGAGAACAGAACAAAACTATAAGAACAAACTTAGAGAATCTGGGAGTTCAGTCTATGATCAAACAATTACAATGTAAAAGAAGGTAAACATGTAGGAACAGAAATCCAGATGGTGAGAAGGTCAGGTCGATTACAGGATAGAATAGACTGCACTAAATGGAGAGAAAAGTTAATGGACTATAAGGCAACCTCAAAGAAAATTAACACTTGGGAAACATACCAAGAGAATGAAAACCCAAGAAGAACATGGAAACATTAAAACTATGAGGAAACTCACAAGAAAGAACAAAAAAATCATGAACTCAACAAATGAAGATACACAGAACAAAGAAAGCAGCAACACCACAAAAAAACAAACATAATGGCAGCAATTAATCCATACCTATCAATAATTACACTGAATGTAAATGGATTAAATGCACCTATTAAGAGATGGAGGGTGGCAGAATGGATAAGAAATCAAGATCCTTCAATATGCAGTCTGCAAGAGACACATCTCACACACAGAGACAAAAACAGATTAAAAGTCATAGGATGGAAAAAATATACCAAACTAATTGCACTAAAAAACAAACAGGAGTGGCAGTACTAATCTCTGATAAACTTTAAATCAAAAAACAGCACAATAGTTAAAAATGGATGTTATCTTATGATTAAAGGGACAATTGAACAAGATGACATAACCATAATAAATATCTATGTTCCCAATGAAAGAGCTCCAAAATATATAAAGCAAATTCTAATAAATTTGAAGAAAGAAATAGATGAATCTACAATAATAGTGGGTGATTTTAAAATACTGCTTTCAAGATATCTTAAAATGTTCTTTTTGGTGATGAATGTGACATCATTACTCCTCAATTTGTCATTCCTGGCATAGTAAACCATGTGATTGTCAGGTTAAAAATTGCCAATACCAGTCATTTCAGCTCACTAATGCCTAGTATATTGATGTTTATACATTACATTTCATTTTTGTCAACTTTTATTTTTCCTGCATTCACATTTTATACATTCCATGTTTTGATTACTAATGGATTTTTGCAGATTTTTCTCCTTATTTTGAGTTGCACTCATCAGCAAATGAATGTTCCAAAAGCTTTACTTCATTTGCATCATCACAATCAACTCTGCTTTGAAGAGGCAGCAGTTGTATTTTGAGTGACTTCCAACCTTAGGGATTCATATTCCATCATTATATCTGACAATATTCTGGTGCTCTATGTCATGAGCAAATAATATGAGAAGCTAGGTTCTATGAAGAAAAACGTGGAGTCAGGATTGGAGGAAGACTCATTAACAACCTGC